GGCTGCTGACCTTTTTGGTTGACAACCCAATAGTCATTGTACATTATGCCACCCAGGCTCTTGAAGACAGTCCCAGAGACTAGTAAAAACGGTAGTGTTGGAATCCACTCACCTCAGCAATAGCGAAGGAAGTCTTGCTCTGTGTGTGTATGTGTGTGTGTGTGTGTGTGTGTGTGTGTGAGAGAGAGAGAGAGAGAGAGAGAGACAGAGAGAGAGACAGAGAGAGAAAGAGAGAGAGATATTTTTTTTTCCTCCCCACAAGCAATATTCCTAAGAGAAGGTCAAATCAGCATGACAAATACGGCTACCTTTTGGATCTCAATCATGTCAGGCAAGTGCAACTTGCTTGCCTGAAATACAGTTAATCCCACTGGCAGCAGCCAGCATTTAATAGCAGGCAAACTTGGCAGGTAGGAATTAGAAATACACTGAAATTTTCTCAGCTCATTTTACCCACCAGGGGTTGCTGTGATTTTCAGGATAATTTAAAGATAAGGCAGCAGGTCAGAAAAATGAAACGTTAAAGAGGTTAACAAAGAAATGACAGAATATTTTCTTTCTCTCCGATGAATGAAAGAAGACACATACATCTCACACAAACATGCACAGGTAACAACATGGGACATAAAAAAGTAAATTCTTTTTTTTCTAAGAGCCTGAAAAAAAAAGTAAAAATATTACAGAAATAGGAAACTTGGCATTTTCAAAATAGTTTTCCTATATCAAAAGATAGCTTTATCGGATGCTTTACATATGGAAGAAAAAAAAATTAAGTATCAGAGACAAAAAGGGAGAAAAACACAATCTTCCTGGCCACGTTTCTCACAGAACAGACCAAACAACCACTGATTAAGGGGCATAGTTTCATTTCAAGTGCAGTCCCACACACAGCAGTTTCACCTTCAGTTCTATTGCAAACATTAATCTCAAAGTACCTTCTGCAAAATGTTCCTCATGTGAACACCTCTTTAATAAACTCTCACCCAGTCAGGGGGCAAAGACATCAAAAAAGTCTTCTAGACTGGGATTCTGGCAAGACACTCTTTGAAGCATGGGTCTTTTGGTAAAGCTAGTGAAAGGCAGGAACTAGCTGTGATATTTACTACATGAATTCCTCTCAGTGGATTTTCAACCCAGCCTGCCATAGATGGAAGGCAAGTTGGCTAAATGTGCTGTTAAAATCGTGACAGTAACCAATGTTCCAAAAGCGGAAGGCTAACACATATGAGTTCGACTTGCTTCTCCCAGGTTAGGAGAAGTGACCAGGAAACGGATGCACAGGCTTTTTTGATCAGGCAGAGGGTCACAGTGGAGAGATCCTATATTGGAATTTCCTCTATCAGTGTTCAACACATGTTATCTTGGCTAAGTGTTAAGACTTTACTAGAAGCTAACCATAACAGAGAGGTAAGGAAGACTGAACTGTCAAAACCCAAGCATAGTGGTGCTCAGGACAAAATCAAAGCTTAACAAAAGGAAGAGTGCAGGTCCTCAGAACAGGAAGACAATAAACACTGTTGGGGTTTTGTGGTTTTTTTTTTTCCCCCAAAGGCGATCGACCAAGACAAAAGCAGGAAGTGCTGTCCTTCCTTCATCCTGCCAGGTTTTCAATGGAAAGTCAAGTGTGCCCATCAATCATGATGAGGGAGAGGGAACAAAAGTGAGACCACCTTCCAATTTCTGAGAGGAAAACACAAAGATGTATCACATACCACTCTTCTTCATTTTCCTCCTTCCCCAGACAGCTCAGGGCGGGCCACATTGTGAAGTAATTCTCACTAAAATAACCTAGTGCATGACAAACACAACCTCTATTTAAACTTCCTGTAGAGTTCTTCAACTTTAGCACTCACTGAAGGCTGGAAAACAATACTCCTGCATATTTTCCAAAACAAAGAGGTGGGTCAGCATTCCTTGGGTGCCTGAAGGCTCAAAGGCTCTTTCTATTGCTTTCAAACAATAGGATTGAATGTCATTTTTTTTTTCTGAAGGAGTATAATTATTTATTGGCCAGATACTTCTAGGCAAATAAATGTTAAACACAAGTCCTCAAAATTTTGAATACTGCTAAAAGCAAGAATAACTAATAACTTATGTACACTCACAATCTCTTAGTAGTACAATTAACTGGACTTGCTCCCTGATTGGCTTGGCCTATGATGACTCATGTGAAGCAAAAATCAAATGTCCCTAAATTCTATTAAATGAAATCTTAAGTTTTAATTAAAGCCTCACAAAAATCTTAAAGCCATCACCGAGCTGTGGAGTGATCCTCTGACCCGCTGTTGACCTCAAAGAAAATGGTAGATGTTGTTGTTGTTGTTATGTGCCATCAAGTCACCTGCGACTCATAGCGACCCTATGAACAACAGCCCTAAACTCTGCTCTGTCCTATGCCAATCGCACCGTCTCTGACACTCCCATCCTGATTATCCCAGTCACTGAATCAATCCACCTCACAGAGGGCCTTCCTCTCCTGCGCTGTCCCTCCACCCTCCCAAGCATGATGTCCTTCTCCAAGGACTGGTCTCTCCTCACAACATGTCCAAAGTATGTTAGACGGAGCCTCAGAATCCTTGCCTCCAAGGAGCTACCTGGTTTAACCCTTTCCAGGACGAATCTGTTTGTTTTCCTAGCAGTCCATGGTATTCTCAATACTCTTCTCCAGCACCACAGCTCAAAGGCATCAATTCTCCTTCTATCCTCCTTGGTCATTGTCCAACTCTCTGATGCATAACAGGTGATTGCGAAGACCATGGCCTGTATCAGATGCACCTTAGTCTCCAGAGAGACACCATTGCTCTTCAGTACTTTGGATAGGTCCCTAACAGCAGACTTTCCCATGGCAATGCGCCTTGTAATTTCCTGGCTACTGGTGCCAAGAGTGTTGACTGTGGAGCCAAGCACCATGGGTGAGAATCCAGACAGTGACAGTACATATTGGGGAAACTATGCCTCTAGACAGGACTTACTGGTACCTTGGGCAGGTTGTTCAACCACACTTATTTTCTGTTTTCTTATCTGTAAAATTCAAATTGGACTTAAGGATTCCCATGTAATTCTTATATGTCAAAAACTCTATTTGTGAATTTCTATTACAATTTTCTTTGATAGAAAATACATTCAGAATTTCACACTAAGGTAAGATTAGCAATCCTTTCTTCCTTGGAGCTAAGAGGGACAGGGGGAAGACTTCTAGAAGATATTCGCTGTTGAGATATGTTGTAGTTGTGTTATTACTACGTGCTGCTGAGTTCGAACGGACTCATAACTGAACCTCCAGTAGGATTTCAGAGATAGTGAATTGTGTGAAAGCAGACTGCCCACCGAACAGCTTGTGAGTTCAAACCCCATGCTTTTAAAATGCCAGTGCAATCCTTATCCACTAGGCCATCAAAGCTCCCTATGGACAAAGGTTATAAGGAGCTAGCTGATGGCTCTATAGTTTTTCCCTCTCTGTCTCTGTCCGTCTCTCTCTTATACACACACGTGCATGCATTGAACCAATAGTAGCAACAACAAAATATGGAAGACAGCCACATTTGAACAATGCTGATGAACATATATATTTGGGAAAGGAAAGATGGAATGAGGAGTTGCATTTTATTCTATGTAGATGTCATTTGTCTGGTAATGAGCTCAAGAAGGCTAGAAATGGATCCTAATTATGCTTGTTGTCTCCAGAACCTAAAACTTTGTACATAGCAGGTGCTCAATGGAAGTCTGCTGAAATAATATATAATTGAATTAGTGGACATAAACTACACAAAAGAAGAGATTGAGTCTACTTTCCAATTCATATAATAATTTTTTTCTGTGTTGGATATAAACGACGCTGTCTTCCAAACTTTCTCATCTTCATATCATATATCTTCAATGTCCAACTATTCTCTCCGCTCTAATGGGAATTTATCTCTTTTACATATTCAGAAGAAAGAAAACAAAAAAGAAAGTGCAGCTAAAAGTCATTTTTATTGCATCTGCTCCCTTTGTTATTAGCTATAAAGCTCTTTGAATTTGTAATGTATTTCCTATAGTCTTCCTAAAAACAAAGTATTTCAAGAATAAAATGTGTTCACTAAAAACAGAGAAAATGAAAGCTCTCATAAGACCAGCATTCCAGGTGCATATCTTTTCTGTCCCTTTAAACTATTTTAAATGTAATATGATCATAGTGTATATACAATTTTATACTTTTTCACTGGACATTATACTGTAAAAATTTTCTTATGTCATTATCAGTGCTTTAAAAAGACACTATTAAGTACTTGTAATGTTTCATAGGATAGTTACCTAGTTATTTTTTTAATCAATTCCTTATGGTTGAACAGTGTCTAATATGACACTACAATAAACTGCACTTAACAAAAACAAAACAAAAACCACCAAATCAACATAGATCATTGTTTCTTCTTGGATGATCTATCAGTTTAGGACAGATTTCTGTATGTGTGATTACTAGGTTAAACAGTATATACTTTTAAAAAGATTTTTTAAAATTCTCTTTCTTAGCCTTAAAATCAGGTTACATTCCTTTGTTACATACTTCAGTAGCATTCTGCAGCTCCTTTTTCATAATCTCTAACACCAGTCTGTGAAAATGGTTATATATTTATATAATTTGAGGCTATAAACCACATAAATTGTTTTGCTGGCTGTTTTTCGTAGGGCCTAGCACATAGTATATACACATATATATATATTTTATGAAATATTATTAATGAATTTCTATACTTAATATTACTATGGAATTGTATTGCTTTCTTGAAAGTGTGTTTTAATTTCTCCCAGAAACAGTATTTCTATAATTCCAAGTCATTCCATCAATGTTTTCATGCTGAGATATTCTAAATAGAACAAAATATTTTCTGTTTTATTCAATTTTTCTTAAAAATGAAGCCTTTAGCAATAGTTTGAAACTCATTCTTCAATTATTACAAATTCACTAGTATTCTTATTGCTATACGTGATATGATGAGAAAGTGAGATCTGAACATTACCAGCTCTCGAGGAAGAAAATGTCCTTCTTGGCGGGCGATGACCAGTGATGCTATTTCTCCCTGCTTGGTACTCCTCAGCATGGCCACCAGCTCCTCCTGAGTTCGCCCCGTGACATCTTTACCATTCACCTACAAAGAAAATCACATAAACAGATACAATCACCACACTTCCATCTCCTTCTACCCAACATTGTCTGAAAGTAAGCAACACATGGACCTCTAGAATCAATGAAGCTTGGAGAAAATGAGAACCAAGCATACGAACTTTACCTAATGAAGTTTACAACCGCAATAACAAATGGTGTTCTCATGTGCCATCCAACTGGAACCAACTGATAGCTCATAATCCAGAGCATTTTCAAAGTCAGTCAGCTGCCTGGGAGTAGACTGTCCTGCCTTTTCCTGTGCAGCAGCTGGTGGATCTGAACCACGTGCCTTTGGATTGATAGTCAAACTCCGTACCACTAAGTCACAGAATGATGATGATGATGATGAAAGGGAGCTCTGATGGTGCTGTCCCTAGGGAGTTGTGCTGTTGACTCAAAGGTCATGTCTTTATGACAGTTTTTATTCACCAAGGGCTCTAAGGAATGAAGAGGGGCTATCTCCTCCCCTGTGATTTTCAACCCTGGAAACCCAGTGGAAGGTCACATATAAGTCAGCTTGTAGTCAGTGGTAATGGGCCGAGCTTATTTATCAGGTTGACTATTCACTCACTCATTGCTAGAGATCGTCTTTCTCCCACTGGGCAGCAGGTGAATTCAAACCACCAAAGAGGTGCTGCCTTTAGACGCTACCTTTCATGGACTGTGCCACCTGAGCTCCTTATTACAATGAGAGATGGTCTATGACCACTCAGTAACTTGTATCAGTATTCCTTTACCAAGGCATGACATTTTTAGAGGGGGTAATCAAACTGAAGCCAGCAGGTATTCCACCACTAGGTAGGAAATAAACTTCAAATTTACAGCTGGCACTGCACTGTTTTCTGCCTAACACAATTATCAGAAGTAATCCATTATCACACAGAAAATCCTCCTGGTAAAGTGAGTCATTAGATAACATTCTAGAGTCTTCCCCATGCTTAGGAAATTCTAGTCATTGGACTGTTACATATTATTGGAAATTTGCAGATATATTTAGCATGTGTTATATTTGTAACTGCAACTCAATTCAATTAAACTCACTGCTGTAAAGTTGGAACTAACTCATAGCTGAATCTCTGTTGGCTTTCTGAAGCTGTAACTTGAAAGAGAGGAGATTGTTCATGTTTCTTCTCCCTTGGAGTTCCTGGAGAACTTGAACTGGCAGAGAAGTGTGACCTTTGGGTTAGTAGTGTAACTCCCTAGGGATTGTGCCACCAAAGTTTCCCTTTTATAATTTATATTGTTGCTGTGCCATCTTCTTTGAACCACCTCATAGATGATGCTCCAATGGATTTTCAGAGGCAGAAAAATCACACAGGAGAGGACTGCGCATCTTTCTCCTGCAGAGCAGCTGGTGGGTTTGAACTGTGTGCCTTTGGGGTGGCAGCAAAACTTCATACCACCAGGCCATCAGAGCTTCCTATAAATACATCAAAATCTAAAATGATAAACTTTCATATCACCAGAGAGTGAAAGGTAACCATCAGCTTTCAGATGGTTGCTTAAAAGATAAATTGATAATTCATGTGTTCCCAATATGACGTTGACAAATAAAAAGTAAATGTAAAATAAAACAAAACAAAAAACCTAACTCCCTTGCTGTGAGTATTCCAAATACTTTCCATTGCAAAACCCTTTAGAGTTGTTTTGATTTCCAGCCTCGCACAGATAATACAGATAGCCTGTGAAAGACTGTACTATTCTTACAGGCATTTAAAGAAACTACTGTCAGAGTGTGAACACAATTTTGAAATTCTTATCTCTGGCTAAGTAACTGAAATTCTGGTCTTGATTCATATTCCCAAGGGGCTCGATAAGGTCAACAAAAGAATTTGAAGATAGAAAGAAATTTTCAGTATGATTTAGTTCTATCTCACTGATCTTACTGGAGACTTTGAAAGTTAAGCTATTTATTTGATAACTAATTCTATAATAAAGGTTTTTTTCTTCCTACATCCTTATTGAAAAGTATACTAGTCTCCATTGTGAAAATTAGTAATTATACACACACAGCAAAATCCCAAAACCAAATCCATTTCCATCAAGTCAATTCTGACTCATAGTAACCTTAAGGAATAGAACAGAACTAGCCCATCAAGTTCTCAAGGCTCTTATACTTAGGGAAGTAACTCTCAAAATCTCTTCCTGCACAAAAATAAACAGGCTTTAATCACCAACCATTCAATGATCAGCAAAACAATCACGATACCATCAGGGCTCCAGACAGATAGACCAATAGCTAGGTTGATAAAATGTTCACATAACACCAATATTAATAACATATCTACATGTTTATACACTTAATTATTTCAGTGCCAACCAACACTTTGCTGAAGACATTCATTCCAATTCTTACCTCCAAAATTCTGTCTCCCGATTGTAGGCGGCCATCTTTGATGGCTGCTCCCTTGGGTAGAATGTTTTTCACAAAAATAGGGCCAGGACCATGTATGGAAGAGTCTCTGGTAACTACGGTGAAACCAAGGCCTTCAGGACCTAGAATACAAAGCCAGTAAAATCATGGTCATCATAAGCATGTGTTACATTGTGGAGTTTATCTTTCAATATGGCTTTTCCTTGGCATTATTTGATTTTGTTATGTAGATGGGAACTATACAAATAAGGCATGTCAGCCTATCCACAGGAGGGTTGGCCAAGCTCAACAATATACAAAAAGGTTGACCTAGTCTTACCACTGAATTATGCTAGCCAGCAGCGAAAGGCAGACAGATCTTCTGGCACCATTGAACAAAAAGTAAAAGAATGTTAGAAGACCTTCATGCTCCAGCAACACCTATCGCAGCAACACCTACCACAGCAACACCCACCTATAGCCAAAATGGAGCAGTGAGGAAAGGAGGGCCGATATTGGTAGGACTGAGAACTTCGTTGGGCAACTGGGGGTGGGAAGTCAATATTAACAGGACTGACAGTTTGGAAGCACTGACCTGAAGCTGTGAGGATTGAGTCTGAGGTTTTTGTGTGCACATATCAGGAGCTGTCATGATTGTATTCTGCTATTAATCTGCATTATAATCTGCTGACTTCGGCAATATGGCTCTGTGTAATCTGTGAGTTACTGCATCAGATTTTGGACCCAGTAAAGCAGTAACATTTGTGCTGAGATGAGTAGAAAGAGGTATAGGAATGTGGGGACATGTCGGACCACATGGGAATTGGTTTTGTGTTATTGATACTCTTGACAGGGACAGCTCCCCTTTGTGAACTTGATAAAGGTCAGAGACGGTTGCTCACATGTGCTCTTTTTACATACACCATACTCAATTTTACAATAAATCTGCCTAATTTCCACTAATGTAGAATATGTGTAACATTTACATTCCAAAAGATTATAAATATGTTTCAATGGTTCAAACACAAATATTGCTCCTGGCATACCACCATGGTGTCAAAGTGAACTTAAGGTCAAACATATGTGCAATCAATGTTTAATAAGTTTATAAAATAAATGAGACATGTTATGATAATATCCTGCTACTGATTTCTCAATAAACCTTAACCAAAATACATACTTGACTAAGAATCAAAAAGCAATTTGCTATGCATTATGTTATCCTCACCAACCTCATCAATAACCTCAACAACCTGTGGTACATTTCTCTGCTATGTCTAGATTCTTTGTACTGCTGTATCCTACTGTCTCCATCACTCACTCCTACTGTTCCTGCCCTAATATCTTGGTCTCTCTCCCTTTCAGGATTTTTTTTATACTGCCTATTGTTGTTGTTAGGTGCCCTCAAGTTAAGTAGGACTCATAGCAACTCTTAAGAACAAAAGATTTGAATCTAGTCCTATCCTTTGCCATCCTCACACTTTCTGACACACAAGAGCCCAAAGCAGCAGTCACTTTGTCAGTCCATCTGGTTGAGGGTCTTCCTCTCCTTCGCCAACCCTCCACCCTTCCCAGCATCATGTCCCTTTCAAGAACAGTAGTTCCTAGTAACATGTCCTAAGTACGTGAGGCAAAGCCTCATCATTCTTGCCTCCAGACAGCACTCTGGCTCCACCCTCTCAAAGATGTACTTGTTTGTTCTCTTGGCACGAGGATTGCACAGGATAGGACTGGGTTCAGATTTTTTGTTCATAGCATTACTATGAGTCATACTCAACTTAATGACACCTACCAACATGTGCACATTCCTGTACTTTGATAAATGATGATAGTTATAGAAAGGCTTCAGGCCTTTTATTCATAGGGTTGCTATGAGTTGTGCTCAACTCGACGGCAAACAACAACAACAAAAATACAATATAAAAAGTCTCTTCTGGTGGCAGAGTGTACCATGGGTTGCACTGCTAACCCAACAGCCATATTTTCCTGGGTGTTCTAATCCACTTGTGGCTCTGAGGGAAAATGATAGGCAATCTCTTAAGAGTGTGATATACAGTCTTGGAAACACAATGGAGTATGAGCTATGAGTTGATTCCAACTCAATGGCAATTAATTAGCTTTGATTCATCTTCTTCTGTTTCACTACCCTAAAAAAATTCCTTACTTCAGTCTTACTGCTTCTTCAAGCTTCTATCACTAAAGGATCCAGGCAAAACCATAATCAGTAAATTTCCCCATCTTAAATCTTTGAAATCTTTCCAGTAAATTTCCCCATCTTAAATCTTTGAAATCTTTCTTTGGCTTTGACAGTTCTCATCTGTCAACTTTTTAAATTAACATGTCCCTCTCCTTTGGCTTACCTGCTGTGATTGTATGACTCTCTTCCTACTGCTCTGGCCATGTCATGTTTATTACTCTGCTATTCTCCTTCCACATAAATATAATTATGCCCTTAATGATCTTCCCTGAGCTCTGCGGGCCTATTGGTAGGAAACTACACTGAAAGCTCAAAGGCATGTGGTTCACATCTCCCAGCTGCTCTGCAGGAGGATGGGTTATCTCCTTCCTGCAATTTACTGCCTCTGAAAACCCACTAGAAGGTCATCTATGAGTCAATTCTGACTGAACAGCACACAACAACGAGCTGTCACGGACCAGTTTGTCCTTTAGATCTGTCTTGTGCACTAAGCATCAACTATCATATCTCTATGAAAGAGACAAAAATCACTTTCTTTGTTTCTGATCTCTCTTTCTGGTGTCAACTTCCCAGATATCACCACCCATGTGCTCTCAAAGGCCAGCAAGCGCCCCTTTAGACCTCAAATCTTTTAACCTTTTAAAGTATCTTCATCTACTTATAATTTTAATTTCTAGATTTCATATGTACATTCTACAAGTAATGATGTTTGAGGTCACATTCTGTGTCTAATTTTTATTTTTATCCTTAAAGTACCCAATCCACTGGCTTCTATATTGCCAGATGATGTTTATAAATGAAGATAACCAATATATTTAAATAAGAACATAATTCCTATGTAAATGGGAATATTTGTATCTCCCAGTCAATGTATGTCCTTCTCAGTAAAGATTCATTAGCAAATAAAATTTTAATCTCATCTTTGGATCTTTAAAAAAAAGTCTTTATTCTAATTAAAGATATATGTTATGCATGTATGCAAAATATGATATCAAATATTCTAAAACTACTTTTGAAAACTAAATCCTCTATTAATTCAGACAAGAACATGAGAAATAATCTTAGTTTCTTTGAGACTGAAACTTTAAAAGCAATGTATTTAATATGGTTATGGTATAGGAAGGGAATGTCAGGCAGATGTTATAAAGTGAACAAAAATACAGAAATGTTAAATAATTCTTTCTATGTATATATAATATTACATAAATGCACACTTGTATTCATGATCTAACTTCAAATAATCTATTTGAAAAAGATAGAACAGTTAAGAATGATAAAGCAGGAGAATGTTAAAGATATTTTAACTGAAGTATATTTTAACACACAGCAATGGTGAATTAGCAAAACTACATATTATCACATATTTACTTTTGTAATAAAAACTTTGCTCATTTTAAACGATTCTAACAAACCATAAGGCACCCTACAACAACAACAAAGCAAACCAAAGCAATGTGCTCTTGGACTTGGACTCAAGAAGTATTTAAAAAAGTCATTAATCACACTCAAAACAGGGACAGCTGAATAATAGTACGGATCTAGTGTCAAGTTGCAACACAATATTGTCACATTTAGATCAGGTTTCCTGTGAAACCATTCTTCTCATTTTTCCATTCTCATGTCTTTCCACTTTCATGTCTTTATTATTTTGTTTCAAATAACCTATACACATTCTGGAAGAAAAGAATAAGTAGAACAAGTTCAGGAAATTTAAGTTATCTAAGTATACACTTAAATCTATTCTTTGATACAATTAAATGAAGGCAGAATTAACTAAATTAGCCTTAATGCATTTCTCTTAACCAATTTTACATGTTACAATAATAGAATGCTATTAAGCATAATTTAATAATTACCTTTCTTTAGGTCAATCTTAATTTTCTTTGCATTTTTCTTGCTGCCAAACCCCATGAGAGGGGAAAGTGAGGGAGAGGATGGCTTTTTTCCTTGTCTTGGTACGCGGGGACTCTTGCTTTGCTGCAGCGAAGGTGATGCATCTGCTTTGGGACTGCTTGTTTCTGTCCGATTCACGGTCTTTATGCCTGATCTTGCCGGGACAGGAGGCTGAGCCTTTGTTCTCAAAACGCCATCATTATTACCAAAAATGTTAAGAGGTCCGATGACTGACTTTTCATACTCTTCACGGTTTTGGGGTGGAAGGACATGGAGGAGGACACTGGAGGACTTCATTGCCTGACGGAAGACATCTTGAGCCCTTGAAAGAGATGATGCATATATATATGGTAGACTTTTCTAACAGACCACTTTCCAGCGTGTACCAACATCCTGGCAATTGAGGACTATCATCAGCATAGGAAATACTATCAATATTACAGTAAATATGACTGCCAACTAATACCTGTTATTATATTGTTGCTATGTACAGTAGAGTCAGGACTGACTCATAGTTGAGACTTCAGGGGATTTTCAGAGGCTGTAAAATGAATGGAGCAGAGGGTGGGTTTGAACGGTCTGCCTTTGGGTTGGCAGCATAACACTTTACCATTAGGCCACATCATTATCTGCCCACTATGTACCCCCACAGGGAGCTCTAGCAATGTATGTTATCAGGAATTGTGCTGTAACTCAAAGGCTGAGTGTTTCCCGGGGGTCAAATCCAACATCTGCACCACAGGAAGAAAATGGACAGCGTCTGTTGTGATTTACAGCCCGATGCCTGCTGAGGGGTATCGGTGAGTCAGAATCTACTCAACAGGAATAAGTGTGTGTGATGTGCCTCCATCCTAAGCTAGAGATGCATTATTAGCATGAATCATTTTCTCATTTAATCTCTTTAACAATCTTGTATGGTGGGTAAACTTAGTTCTCATTTTGGTAATGAAGAAATTGAGGCTCAGAGAGACTAAGTACCTTACCCAATGACCCACAGCTTTTAAGTATTTCTAAATAGGAAAATCCATCCAGATGTGATTATTGAAGTAAATAGAAAAGCGGACTTTAATTTCAATGGGAAAATAATTTCATATTATTGATTGGATTATCAACTGAGCTCTTCTCGGAGTTGGCTCTAAAGTGACTATCTTCTCTTACCGTAGGCTGTGCTCCAGAAGTTCAATTTTAACACTGTTGTTAAGGTTTTTCATGGAGATGTTTATGAAGGACTTTGCCTAAGTGTTTCAGACTATAAACCATCTAACATGCTTTTCTCTCCTTAAGAAATTTTGACTTGTTGCATATTTTTACTTTTCTCTTCCAGGATCTTTATTTACCCTTGAAAGTATCTTTAATTTATAAACATGTATGCCTTTGCTTATTTGTGTCTATGGCATATGTATATATATTATGTGTTTGTTTATATAGGGGTATGTGTGTGTATGTATACCTTAAAAATACTAGTATGTATGCCTATATATTTAATAACACAAAACATAAAAAAGAGATATCTATGTATATATACGTGCATTTGCATGTCCTCCTTCCTTATGACTCTGGGTGCTCTTTGACAATAGGTTAATACATTTGACTCTATATTAATGGTTGCACACAGGAAAGAATGCAATCATTGTCACTAAATTGTGCATGGGGAAACCACTAAATGGGTGTAGGTTTTGCTGTGTATATTCTCAACAACAAAATGAATAAAATTTAAAGAATAATATACTTTCCCAAGCTTTTCTTTAGCAAACTTGATGACATTTAAGTGAAGGGGTTTAAAAGAACTCAAAACAAAAGTTTTAAATGAGGTTGTCTCATTTAGAAAGCATAAACTTTTGTTCTTTCTCCTTCCAAGTTCTTGGAATGAAGAAATGATGGAGGAAACTCGAGTAGTCATCTTATAACCATAAAAAAACTTAAAGATAAAAGTCCTATTTAAAGTAGATCGGAAGAGGAGAGTAGAAGATACTTATATGCCTGATGACTATACGGCTCCCGTGCTAACTCTGGACTGTTCATTTCCACACTTATTTATCTTGGCTAAAAAGAAATCTTGTTTAATCTCTTATTTCATGTCTCTGTTATTAGTAGTCACATCACTATCATTCTGACCAGCATTTGAGTATCATCTATTGAATCACATAATTCCCCGATTATTAGAGGAGAAAGGAGAAGATTCCAGAGAGATGATCTGACACTGGCCAGCACTCCTTGTGCTATTATTGCTTTACTAGAAATTAGTTTCTATTTCATGATAAACATGTGCCCTTGGTAAAGTCACTGAATTTGTGTGAACCTCAGTTCCCATCTTTATCAACAGACATTTTTGCACTGTATGGTATAGATATATATACACACACATACATACAAAATCCTTAATAATGATTCACCTATTATTTCATCATTTTACAAAAACAAATTTTTTAAAGCTTCATTTCTTAACTAATGACCATAAAGAGGATACACCATGAGCTGTTTGGTTAGAAACAACTGAGTGTGGTGACTATTACTAAGGGATATTTATTCCCTTTTTCCAGAATCCTTGCAGTATGAATATATCTAAGTGTGTATTACATATGCAAGTGACTGGCAATATGAATGCATAGAATAATGTATGTGGTTACCGTGTGTATGTACATGTAAGTGTATGTCAAACTGCAAAACACTCATTTTTAGATGTAGGAACCTATTCTCGTAACATTTTCACAGGCAGGAAGAGAGATGATCTTTTTGAGGGAGAGTATTTTATACTTTTTTAAAATTTCTTTCTATTACTTAGTGACTTCTCACAGACATCTCTAACAGATTCTTTTTTTAGTTTAAGAGAAGAGTGCTGACATCAAGTAAGTTAATTAATAAGCTGAACTAACAGTCTGTGAAAAGAGTCATTAAATACCAGTCTAACTGACCCATATCCAAAGAAAAACAAATCCATCCACAGATGTCTTCTCGTGGCAACCAGGCAGAAAGGATGCTCTATGCTGCGGTTTAACACAGAAGGGCTCACAGGGACATATGCAGGCCACCTTGAGGTATGGTATGCTAAACCAAAAAGTTCCTTTGAAAAATGGGTGTCCTGGAAGATATTTATAAGGAACAGACCAAAATTCTATCCTAAGTTTTGATCATAATAAGTTTAGCAATGATTACACACATTGTTGGAATCAATAGTTAGTAAAACGAAGAAATGCTTACTGAGTAAAGGTTTTGTCTACGAGATCCACATTGTTGATTTTTACAATACATTCATTTTCATGAAACAGTTCCTCCCTCTTGGACCTGCTGTTTTCTTCAATGCCGCGAATGAAGAGTCCTAGAATCCTAAATGCAAAAATCCAGGTTGAAATAGAAAATACTGAATAATAATATGCTAATTATTTCTCCACTTGCAACTATTCAGAAAAATAAGTATTGATTTGCATTTGTAAAAGGAATTATGCTTTATATTCAGACAACTGTTTATTAAGGCTTTAGTTAAAAGGAAAAAAAACCCACTAAAAGACAAAAAGGCCCTCAGGATAAAGATACATACCAACACAGAGAACATTAGCCTGTGACCTTTTTTCTCATACTTCCTGTAACTAAGAAAAGGCTAGTGCAGTCGAGTGGATTTGAAGAGAAAAAAGCTCATGGTTTAGAAGAGACCATCTCAGCTTACAGTAGTAAGTTACCGCTAATACGCAAACTTGATGCTTAGTAGTGAATTAGG